ACTCTTGTGATCACCTGCGGAGTCCGGTGATCCACAGAGGAACGGAAAGAAGCTGATGGAAATTGACACATTAACTTGAATGGTTATGATCAGCTGTGATTGGCGAATACGGCCTTTTCGTAGCCGCCCCGGATGCAGTGGAAATTGGGGTAGGGGCTACAGGTCCCACAGGCCCACCAACACTGGACCATAGAAGATTGAAGAAACCTAGTCTGATGGGTCTGGATTTCAGCTGCCCCATTCAGATCAGAGTTTTGCCTCAATGACATAAAAAAAACATGGATCCACCCTGCCTTGTATCAGGCTAGTGGTGCGCCGGGATTTTCTTGGCACATTACCAACTGAGTACCGTTTCGACCCTACAGCCTACCTGGGTATTATTGCTGACCATATCCACCACTTTAAGACCACAGTGTACCCATCTTCTGATGGTTACCTCCAGCAGGATAATGCACCAAAGCTAAAATGATCTCAGACTGGTTTCTTGAACATGACAGTGAGTTCATTGTACTCCAGTGGCCTCCACAGTCCCCAGATCTCAGTCAAGTAGAGCACCTTTGTGATGTGGAGGAATGGGAGGTTCACATCATGGATGTGCAGCCAACAAATCTGCGGTACCTGTGTGATGCTCTCATGTCAGTATGGACAAAAATCTCTGAGGAAGGTTTTCAATACTTAGTTGAAAGTTTGCCACAAAGGATTTAGACAGTTCTAAAGGCAAAAGGGGGTCCAACCAGGTAATAGCTCGGTGTACCTGATAAAGTGACCGGTGAGTGTATGTTGACCTTTTGACTGGGAGATAACCAATTTTACTGCTGAGCCACAACTGCTCCTTATTTTTAAGGGGTTCAACTGAACAACAGTCTGTTTATCACCTCTGGTAGGATCAAATGGTGTCTTGTTTAGCATTGTTGCCTTAAACAACATCACAATAACCGGAATAAGTCAGTCCTTGTATTAAAGGTTGGGTAGACAGGATCTGAGGAAGTGCCAGTTTTGGGAAGAAATCTTGAATATAAACACTACCCCTCCCAACCAGTTTTCCCCTCAGCTCCTCCTCTCCCCTCCCTCTCTGCTCCAGAAAGTCCTACCTACAAACAGATACTCCTGCTCGCTCGTATCGTTCCAATTAAATTTAGATATAATGCAGATAAATACCCAGTCAATGTGAAAGTAAAAAGCATTGGTGCTACTGAAGATGCCAACAGACTTCCAGCACAATGTTTGCAGGACTTCTACAACTAGGATTAAGTGACAAACTCCAGGACCCGCACTTAACAGTTTAGCAGCGCTACAACGCGCAGCAGGTCTCGTTTGACAAGAAACACTTCTGTTACACTTGGCTTACTTTGTTAAAGTGGTTTACCTGTCCAGCAGAAAGGTTACAGGGACTGTAAGGTCCCAAAGCATCCCCCATCATTGTAGACCCGGCTTCTTAGCTCTTGTTCGGTCTACCTCCATTTTAAGCGCCCATTATTCCGCCAGAGTCTTCAGTATTTAGTTGGTTTTCTTGCTTGTGTTGGCAGTTGTGGCTAAAAGAGGATTCATATTTTTCTGATTGGTTTCTACTGTCTGATATTGTAGCATACTAACTTTGTTTGGGTTCCTGAACGAAAAGGGGGAGCAGCGTTTGCCTCACAACATGAGGGAGCAGCGTCTGCCTCACAACCAATCAGCACTAGGGAGCAACGTCCACCTCACAACCAATCAGGATGGGGGAGGCAGGGAATGGCTTTGTTTGCAGTCAGAAAGAGCGCAGTGCTCTGAAATTTTAAAATGTTGACTACACAGACATAACAAAACACAGCGATATTGTGATATTCCCAAAAGTCATCGATAACTAATAGGTATTGACTGATATTAAAAGCTTTTTTGGTATATACACCAAAAAAAGATGCTTCTTTAACGGATTCCTGCCTACCTCACCTTTAATGAAGCATAGCGGTAGTTCAGGCAGGACACGGAGTCAAGCTAAAGGCTACAGTCAGCTGATCTTAAGCCAGCCCTCAGTCAGGTGACAGCTCATGGTGATCACCCTCTACACATCCTATTGGCTAACGTCAAAATGGCGCCCTATTTAAACTGCTTCTCCTGCCTACTCTGCCTGCTGCAACCACTCTGCAACCCACCTTCACCCCAGCTCCTCCTGTTTGTGTTGTGTCTGATCTTACCAGTGTCATATGTATTGTCACTCATGCTTGCTCTGTTCAGTGGGGGTATTTTAATTTCTTTATCTTAATCGTATTTATTTGCTGCTGCTTTCTCTGCCTCGGCTTTTCATGTATGCCCATGAAAGGGAGGGAAGGAGCTCCCCTCTCTTATAGCCGTGGCATTCCATGCAAGCGCACGGAAGGGCAGGGAACTCTCTTTATTGCTTCTAATAAATAATTAATTTTGACTAAAGTGATCCTGACTGAATTTAAATCATGTGTAAATCGGGGAAATATGTCTTGAAAAAATCTGAAGTGCACCACACTACTTTTGTTGTTGAATTAAAAGGAGTACAGTTAGTTAACCATCTGCAGTGATATTTTCAAATGAATATCCCTGACCATTCAAAGCAGAGGGAGGAGGCACAGGTTAGGCTTAGTACAAACTGTGTTGTTGTGGGGTAGCTTATAAACTTGAAGTTCTAATTTTAGGCATATTTCCATAAGTTCAAATGCCTGCTTTTCTGTGAAAATACTCCAAATATGGATGTCCTTTCTTGGCCTTGGAATTTCTGACAGGCTGTACTCTATTGCCCCCTGATGAAAGGGGGATGTTGTGCAGCTCTTCTGTTTTCAACCAGATCTGTCAGTAAATTGCAGAGTGGTGTGAATGCACCACAATCACAAATTAATACTGAACCTGTGCCAATAGTGATTAAATGTAATACATCATGCATCATTCAGTCTTAGAGGTAGTGTAATTATCTTCAGATGAACCTGATTGAATGGTATACTACCACAAACAGTGAAACCACAATCTTGTGTTGCACTGTGTTTATTCTTTTTTATCCTTTTTCTCCACAAAGAATAAATTTTGAACAGAGAGACTGTCAGTCTTCTTTCAGAACTTAATTTATCTTAACCTCAAAGCTTTTCTTCTTACTTCTTCTGTCTCTTCCTTTGTAAAAATGATCAGATACATCTCACTATAATCACTGAATAAATAAGTGCTGACAGACTGATTCATATACAATAGTAAGACTCAACTAAAATCCAGATGGGAAAACAAAGCAGGGAAAACCTTCCCTCCTACTACAAAGCCTGGAGCCGCACATACAACACAGCAATGTAACACTGCTTTTCTTAGATTCCTTCTAACCAATGGTGTGTCTCCAAAAAGAGGAAAAAAAATCAACTTTATTGCATCAGGAAAAAAGTGTTGGAGCTATCAGCAGTACACAACAAGCCTGTCTAAAGCACTCAGACAGTCTGGAAAGGAGGGGCAGTCAATAATGAGCCTTCACAGAGTTATGACTGTCCAACACAAACACAATCAATGGGAGAGCCCAAAGGCTCGCTAGGTGCTATTGAAGTGCCGTTCACACTGGACCGGGATCAATGGCTAAGCTAGAGTTGACCATCGATCCTAACCATCCTCCGGTCTCCATCCCTGTCCCATCCTCACACTTCAGCAGAGCCTAACAAGGAAACAGAGCCAAGACGAGCCTGGCTGGAGAGAGACGGCGGCGTATAGAGTCCACTCCTTGATCCTCCTCAGTGAAGCGACACACTCAGTAAAACACACACTCTTCACTCTCTTCTTAAAGATGTTACAGGCTAAATGGTGCTTTAGATGGACTGTTATCTTTTAAGATCACTCAGACCTCGTCATGGGTCATTCCTGCAATTTGCACAGTGGATAAGATAATGAGGAGTCCTGCTGTCAAAGATTGGAACCTGCTTGACCACATGAGACAGATTTCAATTACAATGAAAGCTATTGACAGGAGTTACTAAGCCCACACCGAATGACATTACCTGTGATGACCGCAGCGCCTTGAGTCTGTTTGCACTCATGTGACCTGCAGACTCTGGATGCAGTCTAAGATCTCCTGAGGGGCTGCAGCTAAGTGATGTTAGGCAGACTTTTTGAAGAATTAACAGCGAGAAACAAGAAACTGGTACGTTTTTAACTATACTTGGAGCAGAATTACATGTTTCAGATCATTCACCCAACAACTCTGACTATTTACCACTCTATGAGGTGCAGCCCTGGATCAGGTCCAGCAGTCTAAGCACACCCCATGTAGAGATTATGGTGCAAATCACAGCAGCCATGGTTCCACCCCTGGGCAAAACCCGTTGCTGTCATTCTCTGTGTTTCTTCAGCTGTCCTATCTGAACAAGACAGAAATATCCCTCTGTCCTGATGTAGTTAAGTTTATTGGGGAAGTGTGTGAACAATGTTGCAGACTGGGGTTTTTGAGTGGATAATTATGACTTTGAAATAAAAGTCCTCTTTATTGTAGAAACAAGTCTGTGAAAAGTTTGGGTGAAAAATTGTCTCTTTGTCAGTTTACCTTGACATTCTCTTGAAATTTAGAGATGTTTGGTGCATGTGTAAACGCAGTAAGAGAAGACTTTGAAATATTCTTACATAGATGTATCTGTGCAAATTGATACACCAAGGGGTAGGGTTAGGGTGTACGGTTTCCACGTTTCTTTTTTTCTTCAGCTGTCATGTGGAAATAAGACATCCTTAAACGTAGTCTAAAGTCATCTCCCAAATTGACAGTGAAAAGAAAAATTAGACTTCCAAACAAACAAACTAAAAGCAGATGGAGAAGCTGGACTCACCATTTATCCACTTAGTAGATGTGCTGCTCAGCAGTTATTAGAATGTAATAAAACACGAACCACGGATATTTTATCACAAACTGCAGATCAAACAATTCATGGAGCCATTTCAAGCCTCCACCTTTATAACATCGAAACATTATCTATGGATCAGTTCTGATTAAAGCATAATCTTTAACCCTCATGTGATCACTTCAGCCTGTATCCTCCTGCTTATGCAGCCTCCTCCTGCTCCTCTCTCCTCTCCCTGCTCTTCTTCTCCTGCTCCTCTCCCTGCATTCCTCCTGCTCCTCTTTCCACTCTCCTCTCTCTCTGCCCCTTATCTCCTGCTCCTCTCCCTGCGCTTCCATCTTCCTTTCTTTCTCTGCTCACTGCTCTCCTTCTTCTGCCCCTCTCTCCTTCTGTTGTCTTCTCTCCTCCTGCTCCTCTCCCTGCTCCCCTCTCTCCTCCTGCTCCTCTCACCTCTCTCTTCCTGCTCCTCTCCCTGCTCCCCTCTCTCCTCCTGCTTCTCTCTCCTCCTGCTCCCTTCCCTGCTCTCCCCTCTCCTCCTGCTTTTCCCCCACTCTCCCCTCTCCTCCTACAGCTCCTCTCCCTGCTCTCCTCTCTCCTCCTGCTTCTCTCTCCTCCTGCTCCCTTCCCTGCTCTCCCCTCTCCTCCTGCTTTTCCCCCACTCTCCCCTCTCCTCCTACAGCTCCTCTCCCTGCTCCCCTCTCTCCTCCTACAGCTCCTCTCCCTGCTCTCCTCTCTCCTCCTACTCCTCTCTTTTTCAAGGGAAAGGGTTCATCACATGCTCTGTATTCAGGAAGAGAGGGAGGGTGTGCTTCATTTACCATGTTGGACAAAATGAGCGAGACGGAGCAGGATTATCATATTTTCATGATCATGTGGAGCCATAATGAAATTTAAACCTGATCAATTGCCCAGCTCTACTAATGGGTGCAGCAACACAAACCCCTAACTATGAGGAGAGGGTGGGACGTTTACAGACACAGACGCACATTTCTTAAAACACATATCACAGCCTTTTGTGCAGTTACGCAATAGCACTCTCCTACATCAGGAGTGCTATTGCAATTAGATGAATTGTGTGGAACAAGATGGTACTTTATCTTTTATGAGGACAAAAAAAACCTCAAACCTGATCTTTATCAGCAGTGAGTTGGAAATGATTGGTGTTGGTAATGATCCATGTTTAGAGCAGAAATCTCTCCAGGTTAATTTTCTGTTTCCCTGTTGTTCTAAACTCCAACTGGCAGGTGTGAGAAGCCTGAGTGATGAGGAGGAAAAACACAGGAGAGGAGAGAGGAGAGGAGAGGAGGGGTGAGGAAAAAAGACAGGAAGAGAGAGGAGAGGAGAAAGGAAAGGAGAGGAAGTGCAGGGAGTGAGGAGTGGGGCGTCGGGCTGCAGTGTGTCTAGACAGTATTCATGATCCATCTGTCTGCCACTGCCACGGCAACAGCCAGCGGCTACAACAAGATGGCAAACTCCATTACATAGAAACATTTCCTCTGCTTTTCTCTTCCTTCCTTACCCCTTGTTTCTCCCTTCCTCTCTCTGTCCTCCTCCATATCTCAGTCTGGTCTTCTGTCTCACTTCCAACACCCCCCCGAGACTTCGTTCCCCTGACAATGTTTTTGCCAATCCTTCCATTTTCCTGTATCCTTCTCTCCCTCCACCCATCCCTCTCTTCCTCCCTCTCTCGGTGTCTCTCAGGCGTCAGTGGTGTGTGCGCACTAGCTCAGAAAATTACAATCATTGTACAGCTTTCCCATAACACCGGCCGCAGACACTTACATTAACATTCGCTCTAGACAGTTAAATATTTTAAGTACCCGACTCAGGATCCTATCCATTGGAAATGAGTCCCCACCCACCCACCCACACACACACACACACAGACACGCACACACAGAGGCAAAACCCACCCACCCGAAATTAAAAAAAAAGGTTGTTTTTGAAGCCTTGAGGAGGAAAGAAAAGGTAGAGAGAAAGAAGGATAAATTTACAAAACAACAAAGATGGTTTGAGAGGTGAGGCACATTTAAGTGGGGAGGGGGTGAGGTAGAGGCGCAGGGGGAGGTAAGAAACCCGCCAGACACACACACACACACACACACACACACACACAAAGCTGAGGATGAAAGTGCTGCTGTAAAAAGTTTCCCCTCTCCTCCTAAAAGTTATTGAAAGAGGAGCTGCAGCACATCAAAGTGGCCTGGCAGACAGCCATTGGAGCCCATTGGTGTCCTTCACCCTCTCTCTCCCTCTCTCTCTGTCTCTCTCTCTCTCTTTCTTTATCTCTCTCTCTCTTTCCCTTCTCTCTGTGTGTCTCTCTCTGTTTCCATTGATCGTGACGAGTCGAGGGAACACTCTCATCTCATTCCCTGGACAGCTCTGCTCAGCAGGAGGTAGACGGAGGTGGCTGGTAGAAGTGTGTGTGTGTGTGTGTGTGTGTGTGTGTGTGTGTGTGTGTGTGTGTGTGTGTGTGTGTGTGTGTGTGTGTGTGAGGGAGGTGGGTTGGATGATGGAAAAGGTGGAAAAGTTGCAGAGCAGATGCTTCAGATGGGCAGGTAACATATATGCAGTAAATAGAGTTTTCCTCTGGCTAAAGCACAGAGCTTTAAGCAGCACTCCTACACTCTCCATGATCTGCAGTAATGAGCTTCTGCCAACTCGGCTTTTGCTAAATAATGATGACTGGTATGAATAGAAGATAAGAGTTGATGCAAATACTCTCAAAACACTATTATGGTACAGGAATTGGAAGCTTTTGGTACAAATGGTCAGCAGCAATGAAAGTGCTTCTCAGCTCATGGATGAGAAACGGTCCTGTCAATATTTAATGCTGACATCACAGACTGTATAAAACACGAACATGCATGTCACCCTTTAGGAGCTCTGAAGACTATAGCTAGTGGACACCATATTGCAAATGCTGCATTAACCTTTCTGTCCCACTCAAAAGAAACGTCAGAGATCCAGAACACGGGAAATGATTCAACAGTTTTCTTCCTATAGTGTATAGTCTGTGAAGATTATATGGCACAAAAACTGGAAAAAAATGTAATTCCCATCCAATCGCTCACAGTTAAACGTGCTTTTAGAGGAAACACACATGGCAGACTACGAGGACTAACTGTTGCTAGCTCCTTAGCTTCCTGATACATCCATGTCAGTAGCAATTTCTTTCCATTGCCTCCCTTTGTCATTTTTGTACTGGTGTGTTTCACTGGACATGATATGTATCATTTAACTCACCCCACACCATAATCTGGGAAGATAATCTCTAAAACCATCCATGAACAAGGCTGATTTCTGTTGACGGAGGAAACTGGCCCCAAAACCTTCAAAGACAATGTAATCAACAGATGCCATGGGCACAAACACACCCCCAGACCATCACAGATGCTGGCTTTGACCTTTGACCTGAGAACAGTCTAGATGGTCCTTTTTCTCTTTAGCCTGGAGCACACCACATCCATGATTTCCAAAAACTATCTGAAATGTTGACACTTAAGACCACAGCAGACTTTTCCACTTCAGGTCAGTCCATCTCAGATGAACTCGGGTCCAGAGAGGCCGGCGGTGTTTCTGGCTGTTCTTGATATCTGTCTTTGCATGGTGGAATTTGAACTGGTAGATGTAGAGACGGAGTGGGCTAACTGACAGTGGTTTTCTGAAGTCCTCCTGAGCCCACATGGTAAAATCCTTTACACAATGATGTGGGTTTTTAATGCAGTGCTGGCTGAGGGGCCAGGATCCTCCAATGTTTTCTGAATCTTGTAATGATTTTATGGACTCTAGATGATCAAATCTCTATATTTCTGCAGTTTTACATTGAGGAATGTTATTAAATGGTTGGTTTATTTGCTCATGCAATTTTTGACAAAGTGGTGAAGCTGTCCCCATCTTTGTTTGTGAAGGACTGAGTCTTTCAGGGATGCTCCTTTTTTATTCAGTCATGACCCTCACCTGTTTCTTATGAACCTGTTCACCTAAGGAAAATCCAAACAGGCATTTTTGGAGCAGTCCTCAGTTTTCAGTCTTTTGTTGACCCTGAACCAACTTTTTAGTAATGTGGTACAGCATCAAATTCAAGATGAGTGAAAATTTACAAAAAAAATAATCAAGTTTATCAGTTTGAGTTTATCTTTAGAGTATTCAGGTAAATTTAGGTGGGAAATGATTTGAAAATCATTGAATTCTGTTTTTAGTCACATTTTACACAAACATCCAAACTTCATTGGAATTGGAATTTGCATGTTTCATGTTTTTTTTTTTTTTCAAAAGATGTTTAAATAAATTAATATAATGAATAATTTGATAAATAAATGTTTAGCCATTAGAGCTCTGTCTATCTGCATATATGGGGCTTGGAAAGTTTGGGAACCACTGTGGTTAATGTTGAAATGTTATTATCTTCAGCGTTCATGTGACTCCACGTTCTCTTTGACTCTGGAGTGTGTTGATCTGTTAGAAAGATCCTGTTCATAATGGTTCATGTTAGATGCTCGCTGTAGCTTTTTTGGTGTATTTGTAACTCACAGTCTGCCACAGTTCACCTGCTGTAACCAAAAGTCCATCCATAAAAAGCCAACACATGAGGAGGAAGGGTCACAGTTACACTCCTGTACAAGCTGACCACAGGATCCAAACCAGATCTGCTCACCGAGCATGACAAGGAGAGTCCAGGGAGAACAGAGCAGAGGAAAGAAATAGAGGTGTGTGTGTGTGTGTGTGTGTGTGTGTGTGTGTGTGTGTGTGTGTGTGTGTGTGTGTGTGTGTGTGTGTGCAGTTTTTAAGGTGTGAGGTGAAGAGACAGAGAAGGGGAGGCATCCTGCAGCACTCACAGTTGAAGATGCCTGGAGGAGGGTGCTGGGTGACCACAGGGCAGTTCTCCTCATCGCTGTTGTCCCCACAGTTATTCAGCTGGTTGCAGATCAGCGAGCCCAGACGCAAACAATTCCCATTGGTGCAGTGGAACTTGCACTCTGGAGCCAGGGAGGGGAGAGGAGAGTGGGTAAGAGTATTTCCTAGCACTTAATTCAGAGTCTGAACATTTGCATCCTAAAAATACAAAAGTTTATTTATTTTTTTTATTTATTTATTTTTTACTATTATTATTATTATAATTATTTAAAGTCTGTTTGCTTAACTGGCTCCAAGGAATGATAACCCATTCTGATCTTGTGCTTTTTCTCAGCTGAAAGATTAGAAAAAATGATTACAACTGGCTGAGATTGACAAAAAGAGAGAAAAAAAATCCCCATTTGGATGAAATTGCATGTTTACAAAAGCGGTTCATACAAAAAAAAAAAAATAAACACCCACACACATTCGGCAGTGTCACCGCAACGGTGGAGAATGCAGACACAGACTAAAATGTGTAAAAGCTCTGATAAACTGACAGCAAAATGCTCAAATATTGGCCTCTTATGTGCTGTTCTCGCTGTTATCTATGCCTCAGAATGTGCAAGGTCAGGTGAAATGTTTTTTTTTTATTATTATTATTTCTAACTGTGAGCTCCAACACAAAGCGGAGTTAATGTGTTGAGTTTACACAGAAACAAGGTCAGGAGAAAAGTGGTCTCCTGTTCAAAACAACAAATAAATACACAGCTTTTCAAACGGGCCTTTGATGTGCCGCAGACCCAAACCCCAATGTTCTGTCACGGTTAGTACCAAAACGTGCCTTTCCCCCAAAATACTAATACCCCTGATTAGCACTATCTGGCAGAAGGGGAGAAAAAAACAAGTAACCTTTAAATGTGAAAATGAAAATATGTGTATTCTGCAGGGAATGAGTAATGCTGCTGAACTTTAATCATAATAAATGAATATAACAAAAACAAAGTGTTTGATGCACTGGAAACCAAGGCCATGTCATTTTGCCCCGCAGTGTGATGTGTGTGGTTAGAGTGCAGCTCTTGACTGAGAGCTGCACACACACACACACACACACACACACACACACACACACACACACACACACACACACACACACACACACACACACACACACACACACACACACACTGTAAAAGATCAGTATACTTGATATATGATATCTTTTATAGTTCAGCTTAAGTCAAGAATCATAGGTCAGACTATAAATATTTAAACTGTATGATGAGGGGAAAAAAGTTCTCTGAAGATGCCCCTAAATAAAGAGTGTTTTAAAGGGAGCTTACAGACATCATTAAGTTGTTTAAACTGTAAAATAATTTGCTTTTCGCATATATTATATATATAATTCGCATATATGTAACTTGTCTGCTGACGGTCAAATTAGAGATTTAGGTGTGTTATTCCAGCATCTGCTTAACTCTGTATCTTCAGTAAGACAAGGAGCTAGCAGAGGTCAAGTAAACTCAAAACAGCCTGGAGGACCTTCTGATGCAAAAATCACTGACATGTAAATAAACTGAAGCATGTGTAGCAATTAAAGCTGTGAGGAACGGAGTCACAGAAATAATTGATCACTACCAGCTAAGAATTTTAGGTTTGTACATAACATTTAATTGAATAGGTATGTGGTCTTATTAGACCTAAACAAAAGGGTTATTTTTACCTAACAAATGCAGTATTTTGTTCATAATACAGAATAAGTTGTCTCTGTCAGGGTAATATTATTGTTTTAATTTCAGTTAATTTCAGTTTACTTTTTAAATCTGGATTTTTACTTTATAATTTCTTGAAAATACTAAATTTGAGTCCTTTTTAAAATACTTTTAGTGTTCATTTGATTTATTTTACAACATGAACACTTGTTGGTGAAAAGACACCCACCAAATTTTTTAAATTGTGAAAAGAAAAGAACCAAACATCATTTTATTTTGGCTATTTGCCTTGTCAGAGGAGATTTCTGTTAAAATAATGGGTTAATCCATCCAGACCGAGAAAAAGACATGATTTTCTTTGACAGAAGCAGAATAACAGTGATTTCCTCACCATCTATGAAGAAAATATGAAGAACATTCCAAGAGTAGCAGCAGCTTTAAGTATGTTTGTCAGAATCTGAATATTTGGAGGTCTTGGTGCTCAGAGTCGTATGACTTTAGATTTTTTTAAGTTGACTCTATTGTGATGAATGTTGAGTAGACGTCGACTAGTTGCTAACAACATCATTCACATTTTTCCTGTCATACATAAAATTCACAGGAGGAGGGGATGCTTTGTAACAATCTATATTTACTGTCAACAGACAGCCAATGCACAGAGATCCCACAGAATAGCAGGTAAATAAACAACAAGCTGCAAATCAGCTTTAATATTATAACTTAACATACACCTTAGGCTACTTCTCCCACCTAAGCACAAAAAAAAAAATACTGTAAACATTTAAGGAGGAACACGTAGTGCTGGACGATAATTCGATAACAATATATATCGATCGATAGACGTGTGGTGCGATAGAAAAAAAAAGGGTCGATAAAAAGTTCGATAGAAAAACACAGTTTCCCTTTCTTTTTCATCATAGCCTATCATGTAGCTTTTACTACAGTCATTACTTCCTCCCAACCAATCACAAACGCAGACCCAGGTACGCTACGGCACCAAGCCCAGCCCCTATCAAACCACAACAGACAGCACGTGTATTAGAAAAAATGATACAGCAAGGAGAAGCGGAGGACATTGTCCCGAAAAAAGGTTTCAGTAGTTCACCAGCATGGCAGTGTTTTGGTTTTTAGAAGTCTGACAAAAAGCGAACAGCGGTCGTTTGCAAAATTTGCAGAGAATTAGTAAAAACGAAGTCTGGTAACACAATCAACTTGTTTTACCATCTAAACCGATCGCACCCGCAGGAGTACGAGCTGTGTCGGCCGCGCCGCGACTCCACGTCATCGTCGGAGGAATCCTCTGGAACCGCTGCCAGCACCAGCACAAAGCATGTGAAGCAGACCAAACTGGACTTCGTTTCTTGCCAAAATACGACAAAGCGTCCGAGCGGCATAAGGACATCACCCATGCAGTAACATGCTCCATAGCGAGGGACATACTGCCAATAACTACCGTTGAAAAGCCTGGCTTCGACCAGCTTCTAGCCACTCTCGACCCGCGATATGAAGTGTCCGGCCGCAAGTATTTCTCAAACACAGCGCTTCAGGCATGAAAATGGGTCAGGGGTTGAAAAGGTGAGAAGGGTGCGGAGGAAATACGTTCCGGTGTAGCTTCTTAAAGTGGAAGAAAATGAGCTCATATTTTACAAAGACGCGAGTATTTGGATCATGGCTACTAGCAGGGGGTGCATTCGGCAGGGGTGCATTCTACGACACAACACCGGCGTGGATAAGTCCTGCTTCTCGTGCTTAGTTTGTGTATTAAGTCAATCACATGATAATTAAAAAAAATAAATCTCCCGACCCCGGGAGAAATATTTCAGTGTTCAGACACCAGGCTGTGGACAGTTTCCCACACAGTTAAAACTGGTATTATGCTATTCCCACCTAAAGCTATTCTGTTTATTTATATATTTGTTTATTTTCATCAAAAGACTATTTAAATATTTATTTATCAGATTTTCTGGTCACTTTAGTCTTTATGTTTGTCAGTATTTACTGACGTCACTCAGGCCACTTAAGTTGATTTCTTTTTTTTTTTTAGTTCTTTTTCAAAAAACTTTCAGTTGTGGTAAAATAAAAAAGGTGGTTGAATAAAGGTTTGAATTTGAATTCAGTGCTTGTGTGTTCTTTATTAAAAGTAGGTCATTAACCAATAGCATAAAACATCCAGGGCTGCAATTAAAATATATGTTAAGTAATTATAATAATTATATCGATAATTATCGATATCGATCAATATGATTTATTTTTTATCGATATGCTTTTTTTCTATTTCGTCCAGGCCTAGGAACACGGCACATGCACTCCTCTCGCTCAGTGTGCTAGTGGCAGGGACAGCCAGATAACATTTGCCCAACTTAGCCAAACGGAGGGAATCCGTCTTTGTTCTGGGCCCATCACTGCAGAGGGTTTTTCATGGTGGGAACTTGCGATGTTTGCATCCATGTTGTACTTCCAAAATCACATCACATGAGTTTAGTTTTACTTCCAGCCCTTGTTTTTATTTTTTATTTTATTTTATTTTTTCTTCTCTTGATCTATTGCCCCTATTGGTCTCACCAACCTGTGTTCACACCTGTTGTTTTTTCCCTGTGTATTTAATCTGAGTTGGTTCAATGAGTCTTTTAAGAAGTTTTGTCTCTGGCCTCCTCTCCTTGTATTCCCTCTGCATTTCTTTATCCAGTCTTGTTGGATTTTTAGTTTTGACTTTGGACTGAAGAAAGTCAATTTGGTTCGAACATTCTCTGTTTGCCTTTGTCATCACTGTTTTTGGAGTTTTTCCTTTCTCACTAAGCAACACTTAAAGTCAGGAAGCAGGTTATGAAACAAAAACCTAAATAGAAACACATGTATGTTTTTTCCATAGACTGTATAAAGAATGGACAGAGTCTGCCTCCTCGCTGGGTGAAGCCACTCCGAGAACAGCACCCTCTGATGGTGGGCTGCAGTATAGGTCATAAATCCCGCCAGCAAAGCTTATGGGACTGTGGACAAACTTTATAAATTTATTACACAGAACATAAATTTTTCTCCCCTCTGCTTGTGATGTTGCCATGTAGTTATTGTAAGACTGGTTTGTGCCCAAGTCCTTTTTTTTCTGTACAGCTCCGTTTTTAAAAGTTATTAGGGGGTTCATGTTTTCTATGATTGACACCTGGTACAGCCTATGGGCGTTCAGGGATTGCGTAGCTCACCCGGGGGGATACGCTGTTTGAGCCGAGCGTCATCACAGGGACTCACGGTGACTGCGCGGCCGAATGCGCGCATTGCGACTGCGCAGCTCCGGTTTCAAGGAAGTGGAGAAAAACCCGGAATTACCGAGAGCTTTTTGGCTTCAAATCCGTATACAGTCGGAAGGCGGAACCAGGTTGTCCATAGAATATACAGTCTATGGTTTTTTTCCAGCCTTCAGCACCCTATATTAAGTTTAAAAGTTTATTCGTTAATATTGTCTCTAATTTATACCTGCCAACTTTATCACTGTATTTGTGGAACAAATGACTGAGTGGTGAAGGTAAGTTCATAAATCTTATTTCCATGTCATGTCTATGGATATGAACGTTTGAAAAACTTTTGACAGAAGCCCATTTTTGATCTATGATGAAGTGAGAGGTTATGGAAGTAACTGAAACTAAATGAGAGGAAAAGTCTTGTGTTAAAATCTAATAAAGAGAGACTTGATGACTTGTCAAAATGTGATGAGTCGATACTTAAAGTTCATTTATGATCGGTACTGTTGAAATGTGCTTCATCACATGCATCTAATGGGTTTTAAGCACATACAATCACCCTGCAAAGCACAGACTGTATATTAAATGGATGGTGACATCACCCATTTATCTGTGAGGCAAAGGTTTGGAGAGACAATCAGCAGCTGTCTCTACATTGGTAACACTGACTCAACCTAACTTTAGGTTAACCAAACTAAGTTACAGCTTGAATCTTACACCTAGCTTTGAGTGGGTGCAAAGTCCCAATGTGCGTTTCTCGAAAGTCAGCATGCCATTTTATGTCAATTTTATGATTTTAAACTTTACATGATTTTATTATAAAGATGAGTCATTTTACATAGCAACCAGACAGTGTTAGTTGATCAATGGGAGTAAACTGCTGTAATCAGCCATTTGCCTGTTGAGGTAGCTATTACAGTTAGTATTCAAGACCAGCCTTTGGTGTCATATATTAAGTCATGAATGACGAAGAACTTTGTCTAATAATAATAATAATAATAATAATAACAACAACAACAACAACAACAACAACAACAACAACAACAACAACAACAACAACAACAACAACAATAATAATAATAATAATAATAATTATTATTATTATTATTATTATTATTATTATTATAATAATAATAATAATAATAATAATAATAATAATAATAATGATAATAATAATTTACTTTCCAATGTACAGCATGGATTAACAAAGTATGAAAAATACTCTGTTAATAAAGTATGATTGATTGATTGATTGATTGATTCATTCATTCATTCATTCATTCATTGAACAATCTCTTCATTTAGAGAAAAGCTTTTCTCCAATTGGCTAACAGAAGGATCAGCCATGTTTCTGTGACAATATTTTGGTTAATATGGACATCATTTTTTACTTGTTTAAGATGAACCTTAAATCTGCACAGTGCCATTAACCAAAGCTGCAGCTGAAGTTACAAGATTACTAGTTATAATGTCTGGTTTAATATGGACTGAGTAAAACATGCAACAGGTCTTGATACAATGCCACACAAACGTGATTTTCATTTAAAAATAGGAACATAAATTTATTGAAGAAACATTAAATTTCTGTGTTGTGCATACAAAAAGCTTTTAATAATGGCATTATTTGAGTTTGCATTCCTCTCAGCATTTTTAACTTTGGCCAAAATGAGGGCTCTCAATTTACTATGGCTCAACAAGCTGGACCAACAGAAAAGCACACTGACGTGGTTATAGACGTTGAACTCAGTAAAACAACAGCTTAGACCCCTGTGAGGCTAACTCTTTCTTAATGTGTTAAAATATCTGAGTGACTGGTGTTACAAAGTTTCAGCACACATTTCACACGTCTGATTTGGATTCTGCTCCATCTACTATTTTTGTACTTGTGAGGTAATAGATTGAGGTAGAGGCAAGAACTAATCCTTTACAGGAAAATAGGAAGCACACGTTTAAATCAAATTAATTGTGTTGGAGGGATGGGGAGGCGTGTTTTATAGCTGTAAATCAACACACATAAATCCAGACATCTCAAACTTGCACACACTGCACTAAAGAGACACACACCAACAAACACCTCGCGGGCCAGATCCTGGTGTGAGTCCTTCCGATTTGCCCGGCTGGCAGTGAGCAACCTAATGACAGTGCACATTTTCTCCTCTTCCTCCCATAACAAGAACAGCTTGTTCTACTCTTGTCTAGACGGTGGCGGAGGGGGGGAGGGCAGGAACAGAGATCCGATTCAAAGAACAGACCAGCATGACCGTTCTTCGGAACAAACTCTCTCTCCTTCTTCTGAGTGGCAATTAGTGAAGCCTCACTGACTCGCCCAGCCTCTCCTCGCTCTGTCTTTCATTTTGTCCCATCTATTACTCCTATCGTCTGTCTAGACTCCTCTTCGGTTCATCCTCTCCTTTTCAGCTCTATTACTTGCCGTTTCTCTCACACCTTTTCTCTCTCTGCTTATTTTCCCATCCTCTGTCCATCCTCCACCTGCTCTACTGCTCTCCTTTTTCATCCTCTGCCGCAGCACTACCACTCAGCTATCACATGAATTCAAAGCAAAGCGTGTGAGCAAAAGTAAACGTATCTCCTCTCAAATATGGTAAAAGACTGATCCCCACAAAGAGCTTAACAAAGCAAGCTCTTCAACATAGTTTTTTAAAACAGCCAGTACAGACATGGCTCTCTTAACGCAATTAAGATACTTTAGCTGGCAAGCTAACCTCTGACATGCTGTTCACCATGGAAACATATAAGTGCTTGTAAATCATAATTATTCAAGCTAGCGAGACTAGCGAGAAACTTGGTAGGGTGCATAGATATGAGAATATTGAGTATGAATGGTAGGAATATTTGGATAAATCTGAAGATTCTTGACTGAAATGTTCCCCTCCTCACCTCTCACCTTGAAGTCCCCTTAAGCCATCAGCAGAGCCCTCTGTTCAACATGGATCCATCTATTTCTGAGTGGAATAAGCTCGAGTAAACACGCAAGGGGGCCTGTCCAGACCTTTTTGACTGGTGTGCCCCAACCTGGGCTCTGACATTGCTGGGGTGGCGTGAATTATATAAGCCTGCACACCAATAAATACCTTTATTAATACATCTGTGAGGTAATTGCCCATGTAGTTAATTCTGGCACAAGTCCCGTCTCAAACTACACAAATAGATAATTAAGATGATGTCCTGAGTTTTTCTTTACAGATGGATTTGCTCCCAACAAGAAGGTCTATCCTATGTGGAAAAGATAAGATAAGGTATTCCTTTATTAGCCCCACAGGGGAGAATTCAAAATTACAGCAGCATATATACAAATACAAGAAAGAGAAATTAAAGGATAAGAAACTTGGAGTTAAAAAAAGATATATACATGAGTATTTACACGAGTCTTATTTACTATACACATGTGTACAGCATATACATATACAGCGATGCCGGTGGAGGCACCTCTCGTGTTCTTGATTATCTGACTGAAAGACCACAGCTGACAACACTGTGTGTCCCTGCAGGGACAGTCCTGTCTCCTTTCCTCTTCACCCTCTTCAACCTGAACTTCAATTAAAACACAGAGTCCTGCCTCCTTCAGAAGTTCTTCGATGACTCTGCTGTCAGGAAGGGCAATGAGGCTGAACACAAGACTGTGGTGGATCACTTTGTCAGATGGTGTGAGCAGAACCATTTCCAGCTCAACTTGACAACAAGACAAAGGAACTGATCTTAAAAAGGACAAAAGCACCAGTGACCCCTGTTTCCAGTCCAGACCCCTGTCAGTGTGGACATTGTGGATGACTACAAGTACCTCGGGGTGTACTTGGATAACAAACTGGACTGGTCTTAGACACTGAAGCTGTCTACAAGAAAGGCCTGAACCGTCTCTACTTCTTGAGGAGGCTGAGGTCCTTTAACACTTGCAGGACCCTGCTGAGGATGTTGTGAGTCTGTGGTAGACCAGTGTGATCCTGTTTGCTGTTGTGTGCTGGGGCAGCAGACTGAGGGGAGCAGACGCCAACAGACTTAACAAACTCATCTGTAAGTCCAGTGACCTTGTGAAGGTAGAGCTGGACTCTCTGATAGTGGTAACAGAGGGGAGGATGTTGTCAAAGCTTCATGATGTAATCTTGGACAGGAAGTCCTTCTTACCTGTGACCATCAAACTTTATAACTTCTCCCTCTGACTGTCCCTGAACTCATTGATGATGTAGAGGCTGTAAACTTCTCCACTTCATAGAATCACATTCAACTGTGCAATCTGTTTGTAAACCGGTCAATACTTCAATAAACTAAGAGTTTAATACTGATAATAACACTGTTTATTGAGCGAGACTGTGCAATATTCTGTTTAACTCTACAATACTTGTTAAACTGTATAATACTCTGTGCAATATCCAACTCTGCTAACTGGTTTTGTTTACACTTCCTCCTCTCTATGCTTGTACATAGAGGATTTCCTAAACACTCTGTGCTTTGTAGACAGCTTGATATCTAATATTCTGCACTTTGTAATAACTGTTGCAATTTTTTATCTTTTCCTATCTATTTCTATTCTCTTTCTATTAACATTTGTATTTTCAAGAGCAAGTGTAATGCTGTGATGACTGAAAACATACAAATAATCCTGACAGCACCAAACGGACGTTATCCAGTGGCTCAGTGCATTGAAATACACAAAAACGACGCTGTCAGGTTTATCGAGGATCAGCCGTCATCCAAAATACAGGTAGATTTTTTTGAAACTTTTGAGACGTGTGTAAAATTTCAAAGCAAGAGGATGTGAAAAAGGCAAAGTTAGCCTGTTAAATATCTGTGCATCATAATTTACATCGAAAGCACTTTCATCTCTTTCCTCCGTCGCTCTCTTCATCATCTTTTTCTTTTCCTCTCTGTCTGTTCTCTGATGTCAGCCCATCAGTCAGACAAACTGGTCAGCCTGTCTGCCTTGACACGCGAGCAAGGAAACAGTCTGCTCCAGGGTTAAAGACAAGCAGGAGGAGGCGGAGGAGGAGGAGGTGGAGGAGAGAAAAGAAGAAGAAGAGCAGAAAGAAAACCAGACAGATGGTGAGGCAACAATAGACAGGGAGAGGAAAAGAGGAAAGAGAGAGAGGAGAGGAAAGGAGGACGATGATGATAAGATAGTGGATGATGACAGGCCAAAGGATGAGAATAATAATGAGGTCCGATAAGAAAACAGGACGAGATAGAGGGAAAGAATAAATAGGTGGTACAGCCTAAAAGGAGTAAAAAGGAAACACTTATACCTTTAAAACCCCACTCTGATGAAAATGATGTTTTTATTGTTGTCTACATATTCATATGGCATTAATCTGATGCTACAGGACATATCAAGAGAAAACTAAGTGTGAAATTTGATCTCTGAGTATTTCTTCACTCAAATCACTGTGAATCTCTGGCAGACCCAAACTGCAGGTTCAGACAGAGGGAGATTTCCTATGTAGCAAATTCAAGCTCCGCCTCCGGAGCCCCGCTATGCAGGTCAGACTCTGAGAAATAGAGAGGATGCTCGCAGAACAAGCGTGTGTTAGCAGATTGCAATGCTCATAAGAAAAGTATGTTGATATTAACTTTCATCATGTCCCTAAAGACATTAGTGTCCGAGAGCTGAATTGCTCCTATGTTACCTGACACTTCTACTACAATGGCAATGTTAGGCTACAAGCTAACGTAAAGATAAGTGTATAGGGCAGCGCTGTCTCCGCCCACGACTCAGAGGTGAATTACTTAAAAGCGACTGGAGCTCTGCAGAAGAAAAGCCCTTGAAAATGACACAGGTAACGAGGTTTTGGCGAAAAACTTCATAATCACAGCTTAAAGACTACTGAGAACAATTTATGTAGTAAAAAAAACGATCACAGTGGGAGTTTAAAGTGAAGCAGTCTGACCTCTGACCTCACCTCTGACCTCTGACAGCAGATGAGTGATACTGTGCCTGTGATACGGACTCTCAGTTGACTTTTTGAAAAACTAAGGTTTCCAATCAAAGTTCTCAATCTGTACTCTTACTCCTGGAGGACAGAAAGTGCTGCAGACACAGAGAAGTTTTTTATGATAGCTTTTTCCTCTTACTTTGAACGGCAGCACTCTTCTCTAACAAGGAGAAACCCAACCCGCAGTGGGGAAGGAAACTGCTCATGCAGACTCAGTGACAGAATGTGTGACGTGAATTGCACTTTGACAAATGTCTGTGTGAGCTTGTGAGCGCACACACAAGCGTGTGTGTAGGGGTGTGAGCGCACGCCTGTGTGTGTGTGTGTGTGTGTGTGTGTCTGTGTGTGTGTGTGTGTGTGATATAACAAAGTGTTGTAGTCGCCACTTGGCAGTGACAGACTGGGGGCCGGACATGTTTCTAGCTATGTGAGTGTGTGAGTGTGTTTCGTGGTTTGTGGCTACCAAAGTGTCCTTGGGTGTCCGTTTGAATGTGTATGTTTCTGTGTGATTTTTCTTGAGTGTGAGTGTGTGTGTGTAAATGAGAGTCAGTGGGCTGCTGCTGCAGTCACAGCTGTCAGAGCAGCAGCATTATATCACATTAAAAAAGAGGCTGTTTATGGCGTAACACACTGTGGCACATTGCTCATACAGTACAGGCTGTTTGAAGGAAAGAAGAAGAGCCATAAAAGGAAACATGGACCCCTACATGTCCCCCGGTCCTGCGCGTCGCTCTTTTTAACCATCACAGGAGACAGATCATGAGACTACCAGTATAGATTTTAAGTGAGGAGAATGTGGTAATTATTCTTAGTCTATCTATCATCCCAACAAAGAGTTGGCATCAAAGCTGGGATGAAGAGTTTTAACATGAGGGAACTTATTAGTATCTGTATTATCCAAGAGTTCTTGAATGTAACTTCTAAAAGACTTCACATAAGGTGAATGCCGATCAACCATCGCTTTATTTGGGATATGTCACAAATACCAGATGTATCAGCACAAAATCAGGTAAAAAAACATTCAAAGTTCCTAAACCGCAGACTCCAGCAGCACCTTCAGGTGGTAAGAAGTATGAATACAAAAGATGTTCACAATAATCTAATAAGTGTCGGAAAACTGGACACTGTCGCACAGAACTGTTGGCAAAACTCATTCTCATGATTGTCCTGATTGACATTAATATCAGGATTATTAACGTGATGATTTAACATCTGCATCACACCCATTTAAGCAGCTTAAAACCTCTTTAAACTTGAAAGCACTTAATTCTTTAAATAACATTATCAGAGGTCGAATAAACTATTAAACCTACATACCCTTAACAAGGAAAAACATCACCTGCTTTGTTAGATCCCAATATGTAACAACGATCTGTAATGTAATAAAGACCCACAATGTAATTTAAAAATGTAATTAAACCCAAATTTACTGACCCTAAATGTAACAGGCTGTCACGTTTTGGGTTTTATGATTTTTTTAACTACATTTCAGGTTGTTGTTACATTTCAGATGATTGTTACACATCAGGCTCTAGCATGCCTCCTCCTGCTCCCCTCCCTGCTCTCCTCTCTTCTCTTGCCTCTTCTTCCTCTTCTTCTCCCTGCTGTCCCATGCTGAATTTTACAGCTTACTTTAACTTTTGCTGCAGCGCAGGTTCATGCTCTGGTCTCATTTTACAGGTATATTTTACAATGTTACCATGATGCACACACTTTGATAGCTATCTAAGAGCAGGCTGCACAAAACAGACTCATGCAAAATAAAAAAAAATAAAATAAAAAAAATAAAAATAAAAATAAAAATAAAAATAAAAATAAAATAATAATAATAATAATAATAATAATAATAATAATAATGCATCGGATTTCATATAGCACTTTATCAGAGACTCTCAAAGCGCTTTACATTGGATATATCATTCATTCGCTCACAAAGTCACACGTTGGTGGTGGTAAACTACCTTAGTAATCACAGCTGCCCTGGGGCAGACTGACGGAAACGTGGCTGCCAGTTTGTGCCTACGGCCTCTCCGACCACCACCACACAACACTCACAATCATACACCAGTGGAGGACACACACTGGGAGCAAGGTGGGTTAAGTGTCTTGCCCAAGGACACAGCGGACTGGCTTGGGATAATAACAATAATAATACTTTTATAAGATGAGGAAAAATGCTCTCAAAGCTTATAAGACATGTAGGAAGAATCTAAGAAAAAAACCCTCCTCATCATCAGGCTCAGTGTTGTGAATAACTTTACTAGTGGATTAAATTCACGATGATAAAGAAAAAAAGACATTTCAGACACATAAAGATGAAAATAAACACTGTCTGCAGAATTTCTCTGTTTCTTTGTTGCTTGAGAGACTGAAGTAAACATCTACAAAGTATGTTTGAAAAGTGCAGACAGAGATATCATCATTTACTTTAATACTGTGTGAGCTCTGCCTTCATAATAATGTGATGTATGCTGTATCAACATGGAGCCAGATCTCCCTACAGACTGTAGGGAAACAAGCTAGTAGAGGTTTAGGACAATCATTGATCTTTATGAGTGAAATCAATAGAGTAGCCCTTTGAATAATGCTTCTCTACACTTGCATTTGAAATATTCATTTCATTTTTGGAACAAAGAATTTGATATTCAAGTGCAGTGAACTTGAATTAAAATCCTGAACACTGCAGATTAGAGAGAACTGTGCTCTGTGTGTTTTCCATGGCAACTGTGAATTGTGTGTCAGACAGTTTTATGTCCCCACGGTCTCCATCAGTCTCCCTGTTTCAGTCTCTTCTCCTGCTCTCAGCTCTGTCTCTGCCCTCCAGCCTGCATCCTTGATACGAGGCGGGCAGCAACTTTGCAGGGCACTATGGTAATAAATGTGTTGCAGATGCGTCTGTGAGCCATGAAGGATTGGGGCATCTTTCCAACCTGCTGTCTCTGACTCACTCCTCTTGTCATCTCCCCTCCTCCTTTTCTCCCCTTTTACCGTCTTTGTTTTTCACTCCATCTTCTTTCTTTACTTTGTCTCATCTTCCTTTCTTTTGCATCGTCTTTATCCTCTTCCTAATTTTCTCCCCCTGCCTCTCCTCACCCCTCTTGTTTCCTCCCTCCTCCTCTCCTCTCCCCTCTCTGGCTCGACCAGGATAATTAAGTATGTCAGAGTTGTGCTGACTTGGCACAATTGACAGCCATAGAGAGAGAGAGGGAGAGAGAGAGAGAGAGAGAGAGAGAGAGAGAGAAACAGTGACAGAGCGATGGAGAGAGGAGAGAGAGACCTTCAGGCTGTGTCTCCTCTCTGCAGTCCAGACAGTGCAGTGTGTGTGTGTGTGTGTGCGTGTGTGTGTATGTGTGTTGGGCAGAAAGTGGGTGTACTTGTGTATGCCTCAGGGAGATGCAGTCACACTACAGGGCAGCAAAGGAACTCTTTTTTTAACCCTCTCTGTCTCTTTGTCTGGAGGCTGCCTGCTGCCTGGACACACTGGACATTTCAGCACGTGGATTTCTTCACACATGAGGCAGATGCTGATGTGAAATCAAGGCGATGTAAAGGAAATACTGAAATGTCATGCTGTGTTCACTTGAATTAAAGAACTGAGCTCACCTGAGAGCACTGTTTGAACAAAGGATTGTCTTAGTTGTCAAAAGATTTAACGGAGGTATATTGCGCCCTGTTGTACAGTGGCAGTCTATTCACTAACATGAACATCATTTTTTATTGTGCTGCACTGCTCAGCAATATTTCATTATGTTTATTAGGTCCCATAAAGGGACTGAGTGGAGTCTTTGGCGCTGTAGAGGAGAAGTTTTCAAACTGCAGAGGAAGATGTGAGTCAAAGATACTGCAGAAGGTGAGCGGGACGTGTGCAGGCTGATGATCTGAAGGTCGTTTTCCCTCACAGCTTATAAAATGAAAAGTTTATTCAAGTGTTTATTTATTTGAGGTGAGGTACGTGTCAACAGTAAGTGTATTAGCCAGAGGGAATGCAGGTCAGCTCTACTCCTTTGTCGAGAAACTGGACAGAGAACCTGCCCAAAATTTGGCTGTAAGCTGCTTCCAGCAAGGTCAAATCCAACATGTGATTTAGCTCAATTTAAGAAACTCCAATCCAGATGTAAAAGCTGAAGTGAGTGTTTACTCTAATAAGACAATTTCCAGTGCTTTACTTTTCCACCAGAAACCCTACTTTTGCTCACAGACATGACCCATGCAACCAAACAATCTCTGTAACACTGTAGTTTCAATTTACAGCCCAAAGCACAACAATGACGAGGCGCTGTTTTAAATGGAGAGGGTTTTAGCTGCTCAACAGTTCAGGGCCTCCTTTGTCATTTTCCCTTTGACAAATCTGGATTCATCAGACCACAGGACAGTTTTCCATCTTGCCCTTCTTCTTCTCCTTCCTAAGTGGGCCAGGGACCAGAGAGGTCACCAGCATTTGTGGATGATCATTACATTTTGTTTCCTGATGCAATTGAAACCTGTATGAGTGGATGCACTGCTAAGCTGTAGTCCTAGAAAGTACAGCCATGCAGAACTTTGACAACAGAGTCGTGTCTGTTTACAGTTCTGTGAAGCCCGATGGCCTGAAGTTCAGGGTCGTCCACTTTTGGTTTTTATTCTTTGTCCACTCTTGTAAAAACATTTCTCCAGAATTTTAGAATCTTTTGAGGATGTTATGCACCGCAAATGATTAAATTCTCCAAATTCTTTACACATTTTTACTTTGAGGAATAAATTGATAAACATGTGCTCATGTCTTCTCTCATGTTTTTGCACTTTTTTGAATTAGATAAAAATGATCATTTCTTGCGTCAACACATCTTGCTGGATGTGGGATTGCATAGAGGTATCCAGAGAGTAGGATTTCTACAGTTAAGTTAGTATAAAGCTGCTCTAGGGCTGATTGTCTGGTAAAAGATGTGCAAAAAACAAAACAAAATACGAGGTTATTGACAGAAGTATGTGCGCTCTGCGACCTTAGCTTCACTGTAAGCAAAGACTGTTAATTTACAGCACTAATTTACTGTTTTTAAGCTTTGTTTGCATTATTTAGACTGCAGGTCCAAATGTTACACGCTAATCAGAAATAATCACTTACAACTCAAACATTTCTTTAAATAATAATTTCTATATATGCATTAAATATCAATTCTTATTTTTTATTTTTTCCTCTTTTTTTTTCTATTCTTTTAAATTTGCAGAAAAAAAAAAAAAAACAGCCAGTGTCGCTGTAATCAGACTTTCCACCACGGTGACAAACAGAGGAGATCAACAAAAAAAAAAAAAAATTCAAAACACATTGTAAAGGCAAAGAGGGTAAAAACACTGAACCAGTAAACACCAAAGAAATGTTTGAATCAAAAAGGACTCCGGAAAGAAACACTGAACTTGGGCTGTGGGTTCATTAAGACACTGACAACAGACAGTACAGCTGCATGACAGAAAAATATCAGTAATCACCATCTGATTCAATTCACCTTGTTTCTCTTTAAGACTTATGTATTCCTTGAAAGCTAATGTCCTCTTCACATTTAAAGTAGACTATTGTCTTTACTAGAGTAGTTTCTGTGTCACCCTTTTTAATCAGTGATAATATAACAAAGCCTTTGTTGGGGATTATACCTTACATTACACAGTACAGTCAAGCCAGTGATCATGTGGACAAAGTTGAAGAAGTTCAGCTGATTTTGAGGTGGTTTTTGGTCCTTACCTTCTGTTCTACAGAGGTCAGTGGAGCAGAAAAGCTGAATAAATTCAGCCCCTCAGCAGTAAAATGGAAGACAGGTCAAACATTTGATTCAGTCTTTTTTGGCTCTGTCGCTGAGCAGCATGTAGGTGCAGTCTGTCCTTTTTCCCTCTGCCTCCACTCTGAAGTACACTTCAGGAACAAAATGTTCGCTTCAACATCATGGGATGATACATTTTCTTATTTCACAAAAATATCAAGATTTGTGTCTCAGACTTCTCTTGGAACATATTCAGAGTGGTTTTATTGATTCATTTCAACTCTTTGTCTGCTTTTTTTCCCTTTAAGAAGTCTAAATCAATTTTAGTTTGGTCCGAAAGTGTTTGGTGCAGAGAAAAATGATGTTTACATATACGCTGATAAATAGTTTTAATATACACTCCATGTAATTAGATGGAAATAGGTTTAACAGCACTGAGAGGCTGAGTCCTGCTGAGTTTATGGCCTCTCTTTGCACGTTATAAAGCCTCGAGCTAATATGTTAGAAGGTTTACGATAATCTGTGTCCATTTAGATACAAGACGGATGATATCTTTATCATGATGAAATCACCTGATGGCAATAACGGCGCAGTATGACCTAGTCCTCTCTCCATTTTGTCTGTGCACTCTCCTCCATAACAGACTTATCATCAGTGCATAACTCAGATGAGAGAGAAAATTTTGGAAATGTGCCTCCATGTGTTTTGCAGCTTAAGGTGCTGCGAGAGCATCAGGTTAATATTCACTGGTTAGCGTTGACGGTGAGAATCCTCATAAATATGTCCTCAGGTTGCCTGCTCCCTGTCGGCTTTAACGCTCTGCCCACGCATACGCCTACACACATGAATAAGGTACAGGCACACGCACACGTGCACACTACACTAACAATTACATGTAAAACACACATGCTACCACGAACGCATACACACAGACATACCCATGCACACACATGCTCACACACACGCCCACACGCTACCTAGCCAACCTAGTGAGGATCTCAGCAGGCAGGGCCGACAGGCTGAGCCAAAATAACGTCTCAAACTCAGTAACCTCAGCCATCCTATCAACAACTGAATCAGAGCAGATAGGCAGTCTGGCTGGCTGACTGTTCAGCTAAACAAATCAAGGCTGGTTAAATGAACACCCAAAGAAAAAGACACGTCCTTGCTGTTTGTGAGAAAATGTCTTCAGAAAGTTTGTAAATCATTCACAGACACTGTTGTCTGTCATCATCCACTTTGTTTAATCAGCTGTCTGACACATTAAGGAGCAAAAGGACAAGAGAGAATAAAGTAAAAAATGGGTTGAGCAGACAGAGTCTGATCTATCAAGCTGTATTATGGGAAATTTAGGATCAGTTACTCTGGAAATACTCTTCTCACAATCACTTTTGTCTCACTTTTGCTCTTAGCTCTGTGAAAATCTCAACAGAGTATTTGTTATTTCTTAAATGTTTGGAGGTTCCATCTAGGGCTGCCACCTTTCATGCTCCTTAGGGTCATGACCACCACGGGCCTGAGGTCTGGGGTGAGCAAACTCACGCTGTCTAGAAGAAAGGGCTGATAGTAAAAGGCACCTACTGTACACCACGTATCATCAGCTTAGAAAGTTGTGTCTAACAAAGATCTGTCTCTAGCAGCATTTTTGAAGACCAGCAGATATTCTGCCATCATGAGGTAAATGTCCAGTATCACCTGTCCAACAGTGTGAACTCAAACCAGTCTACCATTCTGGACAGGCAGGAGATAGCCTGCAAGGAGTTACATCATTATGGCAATGTTTAAATCCTTGATGAAACATACTGAGGCACTGGTAATAAAAAGGGGGGTCTGGAGATGCAGATTTAGAGTCAGAGAAACACCTAAATGAACATGACGACAACAATGTAGCTCAGGAGGATTGAACCAGCCTCCAAGCCTCATCAGTCCACTCATTACAAAAAGCCCTGTACCCTTCCTGCACTTTAATCCTGACCCTCAGGGTTCTGATATAACTCTTTAACAGACATAAAAGAAAGCATTAGTCGATGAAAAAGGCAGAGGACAGAGTATCCATGATGTTCAGAAAGAACCTCAAAATCTAACCTGTCAGACCATAGTTCATCTCTGTAGGGCCTGAAAGAAGTTGCCAGTGTTTCTGGATGTTAATACATGGTTCTCTTTTGCATGGTTTAGTCTGAACGTGCAGATAATCAAAATAATCTATAATTGTATCCTATGGAACATTAGTTTTAATGTTCCTCTTATAGATTGGTGAATTTCTCCTCATCTTCACCCTCTTTAGAGTTGGTTTTTCATATCAAGACACTAACCTGTAGCACATGAATCAGGGGATGTTTGTCAAATAAGTATTTGAGTGTTTTGTTAACTGTGTGTAATGTTTTTTAAACATGCTCCAGCCATTAAAATTGAAACAATTAAATTCTGCAGTTTTTAAGACTGATATGTTGTCTTTGAACCATTTCCATTTAAAGTTAGGTTTTGTTTCATTATCATTAAAGATCAAGAAAAAGACAATTCTTACCAACATTATTTGACCCTGCCTGTCCTATTAAAGACATGTGTTACAGAACCACTACAGTGGATGGTTGACAAGCCTGGCAGAGCTGGAGCTGAAGTCCATCTTGCTTACATGTTTGTGTTGTAAATCTGTGTCTGGGTGTCTTAACTCAGACTGTAGACACAGAACATGGAGTGTGAGCGAAACGCTGAAAGCAGCTGGACAGAGCTCTGCTGCTATCTGAGGAATCACTGGAATTTAAGGAGGGTAAGACTGAAGAGAGTGAAGCATCAACGCAAAGGCTGCCGCACAATGACAGCAGCCTCAGCTATTGACTGCACAGAGCTGCAACACACACACAGACACACATCACAGACCCTGTCATGAACACGCCTACAGGAATGCATACACGCCCACATTTTAAAGCATAAATACATTCATTCTTGTGGACTCATACAAATCTAAATGGTCACAGCCCCCCCCCAGATGATGTGTCGATTTAGGTCATGTAAACGTGGGCTGGGTGGATGTCTGACTGACTAGTAAATAAGCTTGATAGGAAGTAAATAAAGGAGACAAAATCAGACAGCAGGCAGCCATGCACAGAGAAACAAGGTAAACACACACACACACACACACACACACAGCTCAGGCAAGAGTGCATAACAGCACATCCACACACTTCTTTTGCCTCGTAAACCTGAAACATCATTAAGCATTTGAGAATTCAGACACACACTCACACACACACACACACACACACACACACACACACACACACACACACACACACACACACTGCAGACAGAATTAGGCAGGGGTGATGACTCACTGTGTCTGTCTAATTTACTGTTTCTGCCATAAACACCTACACAAACACACACATGAACACAGGAGTGTTTAGTGTAAAACCCTGTCATCACGATGAATAAGTATGAAGGTACATATGCACACATTAACACACACGCACACACACACGTGTGCAATTATCATGTCGCAAATCCTGTAATTTTGTTGGCCGAACATTAGTACACACATGCATGGACTTACACACCCACATTCAAAATCACAGACACACATGTAATTATCTTGTCATACATCATGCAATTATATCAAACTAATATGGATACACAGCCTGCACACATCCTGCGCACACAAATGCACACAGGATTACACACACACACACACACACACACACATACACACACACACACACACACAAATTAAGGTCCTGACTTCCTGGGAGAAACAGCGATTAATTCTGCAAAAGTGCTCTGATACTAAAACACTGCACTGTCCAAATGTTTTTTATCTTATTTTGTTCAAAATTACTGGATACATTTGAAAAGATAAATGTTCACTGCAACCATGAGTCAGTGCAAGTTTTAAACACCAGAATAACAGACCAACTCCACAGGTTTGTTTATCTATGTATTTGTTTGTTTTTGTTTTATTATTTATTTACCTGCGTACTTCGCCTAAAATATGGACAACAAAGTCACACTTTTTTGGAAGATGCAGTCTGTTATTTAGGAGACTACCAGTGCTATGCGTCACTTCTTTGCAGATGTGTAGCCCGTTCCAATACCATCTCTTATTGCCACCCTGCTATATACCCAAATGGTAGTTGAGCAGAGCTGACAGTAATGTTGAAAGCTGTAGGTCACACATGGACCCGCTCCCCAGAACCAATATACTAAGATTCACATTATCCCCTTCAACTGCTGACTTAAAGAGTTTCAAACCTCGGGGTTTATATTTGTAACAGTCTAATGTTTTCTGAAAATTCTGTGATGATGACCTATAGTGTGGTAAAAGTGATAACTTCACTTTTGTTTTTAAATGACAGCCTTACTTTTATGTGTTTTCAGCAGTGAGGCTGACACATCCATAACATAGAAGAAAACCTTTCTCTGCATCTTTAACTCGCGTACTGGTTGCAAGTGTGTATAAATAGGACACAGCTGGCTTTTGAGATGATAAAACAGGCACTAAAAGAGCCTCTTATAGTGCAAATTTAACAGTATTTAGTTAAAAAATATACTCAGTTTGAGCTTGAGGACAACACAGAGAGCCAGAGAGTCAGTTCATGCTTCATAGGAGCCGTTCCCACAGCTACCAGCGATTATAGAAAATGCTAATGCTTGTGATGTACCTAAAGGGTAATTCCGCTCTTTGCCTGGCAGTAGCAGAAGATATGAGTTTTCCTCTATAACTGTTCAAACTTTGTGCAGCTCCATATTCAGAGAAGCTGTCTCATAAGATATTTAAACCACAGTGCAGTGCTTCTCATTTAAACTTATTGCTGTATTATTTCAAGTTCCCATGAAATCAGAGTAAATGTATTCCTAATGATATTTAAGTGTTCGGGTGTAATTTCTTGGAAAACATAAAGATATGTTGATGATTCATTCTGTACTGGGGGGAATTCACTAATTATCACTGCTGCGTTATTTGTTTAAATGTTCTCTATCTCAGCAATATGAGCTGCTGTTAATATCAGTTAACATCAGCAACAAGTCCCTCATTAACTTTCTGTTTTAATGGGGAGTTTGAATGTGCTGTGAAATAGCAGCACTGTGAGCACAGCTTCATGGACACTTGAATCTGGGCTTTCTATATTTGACAGGGTTAGGAGAGGAGAGATGTAACTGTGGTCCAAAGGTGTCCATAGGTTACCCCCGTGGTCTCCATAATTATACGAATGATTAGATAGAGGCGAGGAACACTAGCCATGAACAAGTCAAAACAGTTTCAGTGATGGGAAATCAAACCTCTGCTGCTGAGCAGAAGGTCGGTTAGGAAGCCTTCCACACCTGGTCTATCGTGTGAGCTTACAGTGTGAGCTACCTGTTGTTTGGTTCAGATGTTGTCTAATTAAAAAAAAAAATCAAGCCATCATAGTTATATTGAGTAGATTAATGTGCCAGCACAGCTGCTGTCCGTGGTTCTGATTATAAACTGGTTTAGATGGGAGATTCTCACGGTCACAGGAATCATTTGGAGTGTTGGATATGCCTCTCTTTGAAGCAAAAAGGCCCCAAAATAGACTTATTAGGCTGCTGCTTTGCAGGTGAAGCTTCTGTAAACAATAAAAAGAAATCAACACCAAGCGCTACTAAATAAAGAGCATCAGCTCATCGGCTAATTTTTTTAATCAGTGACCCTTAAAGTGATGCTTACTTATGTGAGTTAAAACTCTGTTTCAGCCGAAAAAGCACTCTCACATTACTCGAATGTAGGGCTGCACAATTAATTGATTTTAAATTGTAATCGGATTATTTGATTATGACGATGTTGAAAAATTAAAAACATCTTGGCATGGAGTATAGCTTGGCATGTGCACTACATCATTTTCAGTGATTTCGTTTTGAGAGATGATAGAAAAACGTATTATTTTTAAAGTGAAGTTTGGTAAAGTTGTCAGTGAATAAAAAATTGAAATTGAAAATCAAGTTTTCAGAGAAAAAAAAAAAAAAGGGGGGGGGGGTATTTCTGGCCAAAATCATTCAGTCCTACCTGAATGTGGACTAAAACCCAGCAGAGTCCACAAAGAGAGAGTTTCTCCTCTAGACTTTTCTCTAAACTAGAACTTATCTGTGGAGTACAAAAACTTTGCTTTGCTACTCTGAACTCTCCCCCCCTGTAGTTGTTCAGTGAGCTGTGTCCCATATGAGGTGCTCTACTTGTTCAATAGATGTTTTCACACAGCATACCTTCAAGGTATCTCTAATACTTTTTCACTATTGTATCAACAAAAATCAGCCCTCTGACCATGAGTCTGCAGATAACCTGTACTTTTATACACACAGAAGTTTAGAAAAAGAAAAGCCTCGAATCTTCATCCCACAACAACAACAACAACTCTTTTTAAACCTGTGTTCTCAGTGACTGTGTTGAGTATTTCCTGTCTACACACTGTTGTTTGCTGTACCAAAAACAAAAAAACAAAAACATACAATTGTAAGAAAAAACATTTCTTCTCTTGTGCTTGGAAATAAGATGTTTAACTATAATGAAATAATGATACTTGTAATAGACATTAACCAGATAAATTTGGACCCTGGAAAGCTGTATTTTTATACAGACTTTCAACAGGCATCATTTTTCAGAGTAACTTTAAAATATCCACACAGTTATCAAACTCTGGTGAGAAGCTTTAAAGCTATGGTCTACCATTTGGAAGCTTGGTACTTATTAGGCCGTTATGGTCCTGTGGTCTGATCTACGCAATATTAAGATCAGAAAGAACGGAAAAAAAAAAATTTGGTCACACATGGTTCGTAAGTCTATTCAATCCCCTGTCTCCCCTGCTCCGCACCATCCCGCCCATGGTCCCGCCTCCTCCTCACTACCCCCCTCACGTACATGTAATTAGCGAGCTGCACAGCTGCTGAAGCGTAATGGAGCTGGAGAAGACTAACACCGAAATCAGGAGGCCGCTTCTGTCACCCTCCACATCGAAGGGAAGGAAAAGTAAAAGTTTCAAGGAAAAGGCTGAAGTAAGGAAGAAATATGAGCGATACAGGTGCCAACGGAGGGTCTACATTGGAGAAATGTACGACCGGTGGAAAAAGCTGCAGAAGGATTTGGGACTGAAAACTGACTCTGAGACAGACGAATTTCAGTTGAACAGGCAATTTTTTTGTTTACTACAGTGGGAGATGTCTGCAGAATGACTCTGGTTAGTCCGTGCCTATACTGGCTAATGACTGAACGTTGTTGATCGGAACAGGTAGGCTCTGTAAAAAGATTTTAGCATAAGTAAGCCACGCATCTTTAGCATTGTAAACTGAGCTGGTGAAGACACGCCTAGAAATGTAAAGCCTCGCCCACAATCAGCTCTGCTCTGACCGGCTAGCAGTGGTGACGCCAGACCCGCTTTGCCCCGCTAATATATGGTTTTCAAGGCTCCGGTCCAATTGAAATGGCTGCCATTGTGTACCCCTGCTGATTTTCTGCCGGCCGGCTTCTTGCTCTATCGGAGGGGCGTGTTGTTAGGTGGTGACATGAGCTGGTGGGGGCGGGATCTTGGAACACGGAGGGGAGGGGTGAGTGGGGGGGGGCAGGTCACGTTTTTCAAATCTGTCTCAACAGCCAAACTGGTTTTCAGATCGTAGACCATAGCTTTAAAGCAATTCCAGTCACTCTACTCCCTGTGTCATTTATCAGTGTGCTGATTCTGTCCCTGTTAGCAAAGTCAAGATGTCTGTATTCTGTCCTAGAACCAGAACAGAAGAACAAAAATGATGTCCATTTTTATTTGTAGAGGCTCAAGTTGGTGCTGAATTGTTTGTGCGAACAAGGGCAAACCACATATGGTTACACACAAAAGGTAAGAAAGCAGCACTAGCATCACTTAAAGACATGCTGTGTAGCAACACTAAAACACTTGCCTCCTTCTGTGTGGGGTCAGATTCAGAATCATACAGGAACTGGCTCGGGTTCTCCTGGAGTGTTGACTGTATGTGTTTTGGTGTTTTTCAGCCACTGAATTGGCCCGCATCCCACCAACAGATAACATACAGGCAGCCAATCAGCAAATCACTTCATTTTTCATGGCCCCGCCCACTCTGATCATTGCATGGATGGTGAAGTTAGAAAGACTGCAGATCAGCAACAGAGGCTGTATCTGCTTAAGAGACATCTAGGACATACAAACAACCAAAATACAAGTCAACAAGACCTTCAAGCCACATCTGCTAAGTCCAACATCACAGGCCTGCATGAAAAGATGTCAAAATTCATCCTCACATTGACAAGCAAAAAGAGACAGAGAGACAGACTTTAAGCCAGTCTGAGCAGTGGGCAGGCTGAGGGGCAGGAGGACCACATCTAACAACCCTGAGCTGTCAGTCTCTTTATGGATGGGCGAGGGCTCCACATTAGTACAGCTCAATATGGATTGACCGTGGTGAGAGACCACACTGTGTGAGACAGAGCAGAGTGGGGAGGAGGAGGAGGAGGGGATGACGGACAGAGTGAGATAAATGAAGATGGACAGAAAAAGGTGACCACTGGAGGAGAGGCAGAGTGAGAAAATGTGTCAAAGACAGAAAGGGAGGCAGGAATTGAGAGTGACTCTGCAGTATTGTCTCTGAGTATATGGACCGCCTCAGGGGGAGTGTTAGGAAACCAAGGTGAATTAAAGATATCCCTGCTTTGATTTAAAGAGACACTGACCTTCCTCACTTTGAAAAAATCTGTGCACAGAGCCCTTGTTGGTCCTGACAAAAGTGAACAGCTGCACAGTTTTTTTTTTAAATTCCAGTACAATGACGTTCCACCTTTTCTTTGCCCTGTGACACATGAAGACCCAGCACATTTCCACAAGATCCAGCTAAGAGCAGACACCACCACTGTAAGAAGATCTCACTTGATTGGCTGTATATAATTGCTACAGGACCTGCATGTGTTTCCCTCCATAAAAAAAGGTGGTTGCATCAAAAGAGTTGCATTATTAAAAGCACAGGAAAGTCTACCAGGAACCGCGTTGGTGGATTGGGAAAGTGTGGTGGCCCTGAAGGTCAATGGCACAGCTATTTCAGGAACAGGAACAAAAAACATTCATAGAACACAGAAACAATTTACAAACCACACACACAAAATATAAACTAAAATATGAATTCTATTAAAAATACACAGGAAAGATAGGAAGCTTCAAAGCATGAACACATTTTTGAAAAACAAAAAGATGTTTTGCTCTCTGAAAAATATTATTTTGCTTAGATATACTTTAAGCACCTGAGTTTTGTCCAATCACAATCAAGCTGCTTCCAAAGACATTGCAGCAAAAAAAATAATTTTTAAATTAATAATTAATTAATAATTTCTTTTTATTTTCCTTATTTTTTCAGATTTATTTATGATTCCAAAATAAGATTAACTTTGTTCATGTTCATGTCTATCTCATTTCTTTGTGCTTTCTGAGCTTTTTGAGGTCATGTGAAATATTTTTATTTTTCTTTTTACATTTTTTTGTGCTTTATGAATTTTGACTTTGATGACTTTCTGAAAGCCGTTGACCATCAGGGCCACTGTAGGAAAGAGACGTGCAGGTTATGAAAGGTATGAGGAGTGGACAATAAGATAGAAGGCAGGTCAAGGTAAAAATATTTTCTTAAAAGATACTGCTTTAAATAATCACAAAGAAATTGAGTGGAAAAGAAAATCAATAACTGAAGGATCAACAGGTTGGGAAATGTAGAAGAAAATGAACTAAATTGTCTAAAAAAGGGAAGAAGATGGAGGATAAAACAAGAAAAGGAGAAAAAGAGAATGAAATCATATCACATACAGAGGCAAGAGCCAGCACATAAGAGTGAATACAAGGCTGTGGAATAAAGAGAGGCAGAGACTCAAAGACACCCTAAAGATTCAAGAGAGGATGCTTGACAGTCTGAGTGATTCAGGAGAGGTGGAAAAAAAAGAGACAGAGGAGGAGGAGAGCAGCTATGAGGTTGAATGAGAGTGACAGGAACTACAAATTATTCTCAATGTTGGTAGTGTGGCCTTGGTGTGTGTGTGTGTGTGTGTGTGTGTGTGTGTGTGTGTGTGTGTGTGTGTGTGTGTGTGTGTGTGTGTGTGTGTGTGCCCCAGCAGCTTAACACTGTCCACATTTCACCTGAGAACACACAAACAGCAACAAGCTCACTCACATCTCTGTGGAAACAAATGCACTGATTCAGACACACACACAAAACAGACAGACAGACCGACCCAGCTCCAACTAGTGGAGGGCCAAATGCCCGTTTGTGTGTGTGTTTGTGTTAACCTGACATAAACTCCACACGGTAAACAAAACCTTACGTTCACCTTGCAGCTATCGACCACAGGTGTCTGCCTCCATCTGATTGCAGGCACGCTTGTTTACTACTCTTCGATGACTTCATTCCCCTCCTCAGCCCCCGCAGGGCCCGAGCGGAGACTGACCAGAACTAACCCTCCCACACACACACAGAGACACACACAGAGACACACACACAGATCTGATGAATTATGTAATATACAAGCTTTGAGAGAAGAGAGAAGGCTCTGCTCTGGAGAAATTTCTCTGAATCTACAGCAGTTGACCAGACTAGTAGAAACTGCAGGGTGCACACAGATACACAGAGAGCCTGCAGTGAGAATAAAGATATAATATCAGTAATTGAAATGTTAGCTACATGGCAAAAACCTCAAGCTATTTGGATTCACCTATCAGTCAATATTAACAATGCAATACTGCCCTTTCATAGATATTTCAGTATCAGCACGGGCGTTCTTTGTTTGTTGTGTTTCTTTAGTGCATAAAACCCTTTTCTGCAGAACAAACAATGAGAAATATTTACTTGGGTTAATGCATAATAATTCAACACTATCTGTAAGACACGAAGCAACATATCATTTATTTTTAGGTCTTGGTTTAACCAGCCAAAAAATCCTCACAGGGGCTTTTAGATCAGTACATATCAGATACTCCTTTTCTGGTATAAAATAAGTCATTTGACTCAGAAATGGTTTCCAGTTTACTTCATTCTTCCAAATGCAGTAAGAGAAAAACACCAACAGTGTTTTACTGCCATTTCACATCACGAGGCCAGCATGTTTTTTTGGGCTCCTGTGCAGAGGAAGACTTGATGCGTGGACCAAATCTGACACAGACACCATTAAGGTCAAAGTTCACGGTGCAATGGTAATGATGTATTTGTATGTCATACTCCATTCACAGAACATACTTTTCATATGCAGCTGAGGCTGTGGAGACTGAAGAAAACTGGAAACTGACACACGCAGAGCAAACAGTGATCTTTGTTCTTCCATGTGATCAGATGACATGAACCTTCAAACTGAGTTTGGGCGTTTTCATGGTGGGCATTTTCACTCAATGTAACAGGAGAAGCTACAAATAACACACATGATGCCTCTCTTCTCACCTGCTGCATCCAGAGTGACATGTCAAGATGTCCTTGGAAAATGAGTTAAAGTTTAAGTTTCTGCTGATGAGAAATGTGGATCACAAAAAGACAGAAACTCCAGTTCTCTCTTTATGTTTCTGTAATTATTCATTATCAGCCATAACTCTGCCTATTCACTGCTTTAATTAAATGAAAATGGATATCATTCTTGAAACTACACTCCACTGCCTGCAAAACCAAAAATTTAAAGTAATTTTCTCTTAATATTAAGGGTTTTCTGCAAACTTAAGTCTTGTCTTAAGACTAAAGTCTTAAAGAGTTCATTAAACAGAGTCGCTCAGGGTAACTCTTCAGAGGAAGAGCTGGACCTCCTCTGAAAAATTACAATCACAACATTCACAATCAAAGTAAGTCATCTTTTTGTTAAACTCTTATTTACGATGACAATACTGTGGACAGAAGAGTGCTTATTCCTTCCATCCATCTCTGTGATGCTGTGAACTTTTCACCTCTGTGATGACTACATTTACAGAGAGATGCTCATACAGACATTGAATTCAAAGTCATAAATATATGAACATGCAAGTTATAAAAGGTTGTCTCATTGTTGCGGGACGTTTAAAACATGTTTGACAACATACCGTGAAAGATATTAATTGTACATGCAATGTCAGTATTTTTATAAAAAAACTTTTATCACTGTTAGTGGCTCCTGAGGTGATCTTGTGTTATTCCAGCGTGGCCTCACTCAACTTAAACCTGAGCACTGCGTGGATCAGCATCTGTAAATGGAATCACCTGTTTGGGATGTGAAGGGACACCTAAAACAGAGATTTAGGGCCTATGCCCATCAACAGTGGTTTTGGTGCTATTTTCAAGACAAGACTGATTGATATTGTCAATGCTAAACATACCTAGTGCAAACACACCCAAGACTTGCTGCCAGTGCAATAATATGTTTTCTATCAAATGCTTTTACATCTCTAAACCACACGGTTACGACAACGGAAGACAAGTGTTGTAGGAGTACTTTTTCATCCAAGCAATTGTAAACTCTAGTAATGGGTGAACAAGCCCTTAAACATCTATATGACACTATAAGCCAGCTTTCATACTGACATAAGTAAAGAATGTGTCGACATAATTACATACACCTTTTTTTATAGCTCACTATCACCTTGTTAAAATTGCTTTATTGAATTTGAAGACTGATTTTGGATGATTAAAGGTCAAAATCAATTTGTTCACTAATGGTCTGTTGTTGTTGTTGTTGTTGTTGTTAGAAATCCAGAAGCTCAGCTGTAAACTTCATTCTTAAGAGACTGACTGTACATTCTTTGACATATGCCCCCTGACATACACACAAACACAGCTGTGCATTCATCAGTGTTTACCTTTGAAGGCATTTGTAGCCGGTAAGTCAGTTTCCTGCATACTGCTCCTTCCCGCGCTCTGCCAGCTGCTGCTGATGCTGCGATGGATGCCAATAGACCAACCTTAACCAGTCCGAGCCGCAGCCACAGGGGGGAGGGAGGGTGGCCGAGAGGAAGGGGTGGCGCCTGCCAGTCTCACTGCCATCATTCTTCATCAAATGTCCATGTGGGGGAATAAAAGGCAGCTGTCTGTACAACTCGAGAGCAGGCGACTGTGGGGCAGTCACTGTTAAGCTGAGAGTATGGCTACAACAGAGCACACTGGGAAAACAGAGATGGCCAGGAGCAGAAAAAGAGAGGATTGGGCTTGAGACACTGACTTTTGAGTGAAGAACAGATGCAAGTTTTAGGAAGTTTCAGTGTTGGAGTGTTTGATTTGAACTCTACCCTCCTAGCAGCAGGCCCACAGCCATGGCCAACACCCTGAACTTTTGACTGTCTCAGCCTCTTTTCTGCCTCTGAGCTAAGAATCTTTATCTCACTTAGTCTGTCTGCCTCTGCCTCCTCCAGTCAGGTTTGTCTCTTTAACTCGGCTCTGATCAACATGCTGTCTCCTCCAGATCTCAGTGTTCTCTCACTGGCTTGTTCCGTACTCTTTTAACTTCCTCTCTTCGTCCTCCTGTGTCCTCCGTCCTGTTGCTGCAGTCCCCTGCTCAGCACGAGGCACTCTCAGGCTGGAAAGAAAGAGACACAAAAAGAGGCAGAAACTCAATGAATGTAGTCATAACATACCCAAAACATCAGGTGAAACACATCCACCCGAGGGCTAACCGCTGCTGGCCTACAGAAACCAGCTGCGAGAAGGGCACGAAACAATCACCCACATCCACCCACTCACACACTGCAGTGCATGTCTCAGTTTGGATAGCAGGTGGGTGGCTGGCTGGCTTGCATGGCCCCCCTTTAGTTCCTCTCACCCACTAGGTTCTTACATGAAAGGAAAAGTTTTTCTGAAAGCCAAGCGCCGTCTGTGACCCTATTTCACAGAGCAGGGGAGAGATAGAGCCACATGTCACTGTGCTACTTTGAAGTCTGCCTGATAAACAGGGCTGGAGGAGGCTCGGCTAAGGAAACAACAAAACTTTATTTACATTTCAAAAGTGCCAAGTGCCACTTTTTGTGTGCCTGAAAAAGAAATAAAATCTAAAAAAAAGTGGAGAGTGAAGAGGAGGAGGAAGCTGGAGAGATCAGAGGAAGAATGGTTTTGGTGAAAAAGGAACAACTGCTGCTCTTGTTGTCATTGTGAGCATACAAGTTAAAATAAGGGTGCAGGAGAGGTAGGAAACATGAAGTATGACAGGGTGAAATGGAAATCAACACAGGAGAAAAGGTTAAAGAACTCAATCAACAAAGGAGCAACCTGTGGGAGACCAAAAAAAGTAAGAATAGCAGCCAAGAGGATAAAAAAATAAGAAGAAAAAGGAGAAGATGCAGGAATAAAAAAGTTAAAGAAGTAAAAAACGACAGGGCGGGGGAATGGAGGAAAGAAGGAATTTGTTGCAGAGAGAAGCAGACAGACAGTAAACAAACACACGCCCTGTCTGAGGTTTAGAAAAGCTCCACAGATCTCAGTTTGCTCATAGTATCTCAGCTCTGTTCCCCTGGTCTTATCAAGTCTTATTGCAGATAGGATTCACACAAGACAGCTCGAGCCCTGGCAAACAGGAAAGTAACAAGGAGATCCAGGCTGAAGTGACAGAGACAGATTCACTCATTCTGTGCAGCTACAGTGATTCAGCAGTTTTTCTGTTTGTCACCAATCAGAGTCCAAATCTCCAGTGAGGGTCCAACCAGTTAAACTGCTGCTTTACTACATTAACTGGTCTACAGTAACTACATACACTGGTATGCACTGGCTATTGTCACAGGTGAAGTGTGTGGCACAGTCTGATTTATGCTCCTGTGTCAGACCTGTGCCATGACACACACCATGACCCTGCATAAGTGAATGCCAATAGCTCCACATTCACCTGCTCAAAAATGTAAGATTGTATCAAACAATGCACACAGCAAACCCTGTGATTGGTCTGCTTGGTCACAAGTATTTCCAGTATCATCACCATCCTTTGTCTGCTGCATCATCTCCTCTCTTTTCTTTTTTGCAATAACTGCAGCATGATCAACTGCTGCACAGTCAGCTCTGACTCCAACAGATTACACTCTGATTTAAAGAGGGAAAGTGGCTGGACTGCAAACTGGTGATAGAACAGATATCCCAATGCAGATTAGTATTGCACTCTCCAAATAAATATTTAGAAGTCTTTAGTGCTAATGACAGCTATACAAGGCTATAGTATAGCGTCAGTATAAACCAGTATGGATCAATCTTTTCAAGTTTGGAAAATTTGCACAAATTTGAAATGACCCGAATCACATAGCCCATCACATCCTGATCCGGGGACAAAGAATCATATCAGTCATCTAGCTAATCACAGGCTATCAAGCACTGTTTTGGAAGTGACAGCTAACTTGTAGGGCTCTATTTTCGTGCCTCGCTAGCAGCATGGCGCAGGTTTGGCGTAAGTCAGGTCCGCCGCACATATAAGGCGTGCCCAAGCACATTTTGGTATTTTGGCATAAGTATCCCCCCTCCCTAACTCAGCTCCTTCCAGCGGCATATGTCGTAGAAAGGGAGGAGAGAAGGTGTGGAGTGGGTTTAACACAGCTGAGACCTGTTTTTGCCAATCACATCAGCTGCTCTCCTCACCTTTAAATCCGCCACAGGTGAGGCGTATTGCAATTTTCGTGAAGTAATCAAAGAGATCAAGAGATGTCTGAAGATAGTAATGCCACACGATGGCGACAGAAGGCAGCCCCTCAACAAGTGTCACTGTAAACGCTGCAGAGGGCATCTTGCACACTTTCTCATATAAGCACAGATGGATTTGGTGTGTGTAATTTTGGACCCACTGGTAAGACAAACACCCTTTTCCACAAATAAAGACACTCACATAAAGTTGCACATATTCAAACCTCATGTGACAAAGGTGGGTTGTGCGCACAGATCACAACATTAACTCCAATAATGGCATTAAAATCAGAACCATCTGTGCGTAAATGACGCATCGCGCTCCGTGGCCTAGCTCTTTCTTTCATAGATGTTGGCATATAAAATAAATTTGGCTCTCAAAACTGAATATTATAATATTCATATGTAGGCTTAAAGTAAATAATTCTTCTGATCACTGAAACAAATCATCTGTCCAGCCACCGCAGCAGCAGATGCAGCAGGTGGGGGGGAGACATGTCCAGGTCGGGCTGCGCAAGAAATAAGAGGAAGAGGAAGAAAGAAATAGGGGGGAGACAAATTTCATATCTTGTTAACTTCATCATGTGTCATCAATAACTAATAAGTTTTTTTGTATATACACCACAAAAAAGATGCTTCTTTAAAGGAACCCTGCCTACTCCACCTTTGAGGTAAAATATATCTCTTATTACAATATAGCACATCTAATACACATCTTGGGTATTCTTTTAATCTTGGGTTGGGGTAGATTTGGGTATTCTTTGTTTCTTTTTTTTCCCTTTTTCTGTGTAAAGCACTCTGTGCTATATGGTTGTGTATGAAAAGTGCTATATAAATAAAGACTGATTGATTGATTGATACCACTACAGCCGTTACATACTTGACATTTATGGTAACTTGGTTGGTTACATACATACTAAAATTCCAGTAAAGAAACTTTTATCTTTTGCTTTTGTAGATCACAGAGACACACTGCTGCTCATTTCAATCTGTTTCATAACCAATCAAAAACTCCTCACAGGAGCTTTAAAGCAAAAGATTGATGGAGCTTAGGAATAAAGACATAAAACTAAAGGAAAGGATAGTGTGGTGAAAATAGAGAAAAGTAAAGGACAGGAACAGAGATGAACGAGTGGAAGAGGAAAGGAAATGAGGGGGGAGGAAATGGAAAGGAAAAGATGTGAGGGAGAGGAGATAATGAAAAAAACAAGGATAGCAGGCTGTAACAGGAGATAGGATGAAAGTAGAGGGAAGTATAGATAAATAGAAGAGATACAGAGTAGGTATAAAAGACAAAAGAGTGCACGAGAGCAAAGAAACAAAGGAGATGAGAGGGAAGGGAGGAAGTAATACAAAAACATTAGAGTGAAGAGAGGAAGAGCGGAGAGGAAGAGAAGGGAGGGTAAGGGAGGCTGCCACTCTGGACTAATTGATTGTGAAGTAAGAGCAGAATTATCACAGAGTAATCCTTTGTTTGATATTGAGCTGCTGCTGCTGTCGCTGCTGTGTGTGTGTGTGCGTGCATGTGCATGCGTGTATTAGCCTGTTAATCTTTAGCTCATCCCTGTTAGGGTCAGAGGAGTTCAGGTTGGTGGGCTGAGTGATGACTCAACAGTTTGTGTCTATCAGGGCTGTTTTCTCCATCAAAGTTATACATCTGTGCAAAAATGCAGTTTAATGTTTGACTTTCTTTACCACTGTTCAGTGTTTTTATTGAAAGGCATATCTATCATAACTCCTGTCATTTCAGAGAACAAGGAGGTCACAACTTTGACCCGATTCCTCTCACGGGTGCCAATTTGAACATTTTTAAATTAATTACCACTCAGCAATTTTAGCCAATTTTAAACTGTCTATGTCAGCTGTCACTGCGCACAATTTCCAGCAGAATGCAAATGCATGAGTAACTTATTTTTACTGAGCATTCTCAGTGTGCCTGACTTTATGAACTTAATAAAATAAAAATTAACATGACATCATTGTGTAACTCTAACCACAGCCAACAACAGCTGCTTTACAGCAACCCACGGTAACTTTCCAGGGACACATGGCTCACATTTGAGCATGATGTGACAGCGTTTCGTTTTACAACAGACATTTGGAGCTCTGACATATTGTCCAATCTGTGTCATTAACATAGAATCATCATGTCCCTTTTGAGTCACTGACACAGTCTTTTCACGGTCTGAGCTCCATCATCTTGTAGGTTCCTCTGGATCACTGCTGCAGACGTCCTGCTGCTTTACTGATGCTTCAAATACAAGAGCATCAGTCTCTCCATTTTTAAACTGTTTATCATGGAGCTTTTGAAATTGTTTCTGATTTAATTGCAGATGTATCTACATATATGTAGATACACACAGTATATATGTCAGGAGTCAGCTTATTCTTGAGACCCATTGATTGCTAGGAACTTTTTTAAACATTTGTTTTTGTTGTCTTGAGCTGTCTTGTTGTCTGAGTAACAAAGAATGACAGTCACTCTCTCTTTTTTTCCTTATTTTCTCTTGTATTTTGTTTTCTATTCAGGATCTTATGGTCAAGAGGCTTTTTTCCCCTAATTTTTGCTGACATCTGTCAGCCTTGCACTGAATTTGATACCTCACTTCCCCCTCATTGGTCGTTTTACTTTTATATATTCTTGTACTACCATGAGGTCCTCTTGTCCTTGTGCCTGTTTATTTGGTTAAACCAGAAAAATTCTAAATAAAAAAATGAAATAAAAAAGAATGACAGTCTGCCATGTCTGTGACACCTTAGGACAACCAGACAGAGAGAGAGAGTCTAGCATGTTTGTTTCTGTGATATGCCCTGGTCAGCCTATCAAAGCACAAAGCATGTAAAAAACATGAAAGTAAAAAAAAACAGAATGAGGATACAAAAAAAATTATAAGTTAGAGTTGAGTTTTGTTACAGAGGAAAGTTTGTTGAGTGTCATGATGGTGAGAAACAGTAGACCCGCTTCAGCAACCTGACAGTCTTCTTTCAGGGTGCCTTCAAGCTCAGGGATTCCCAAGTAGGGTACTGCACCCCCTGGGTGTTCAAGAGACACCCAGATCCAAGAGCCATGAGATGCCCCCCAAAGTTGAATGATTTATATTGT